AGCTCAAGGCTGTTATTTATGTTCTTTAGATATTTCGTTCATCTTGTCCTGAGTTGTGTGAGTACAAGTGCCTTTGGGAAGTAGTTTTAGAAATTATCATCTTTTGTTATGTCTGCGAGAAAGGTGAAACGTTTCAAAAATCGTACACAGTTGACTTTCCTTTCGTTATTTCCTCGAAAATGTAATAAATTTGCGATGTGTACCGTCTGCCGCTGCGACTTTTCGATTTCGCATGGTGGAAGGGCAGATGTTCTCAAAAATGTGCGTACACAAAAACACAAGGACAACATGAGTTGTTTTGAAAAAAACGGAAAATTAAATTTTTCTTCGGAAACAAGACCAAAAAGTTATTAATGCAGAATGTCTGTTCTCTAGCCTTTTACTGGAGCACAACATGCCATTGAATGCATCGGATCATGCTGCAGCTTTATTTAGAAAAATGTTTCCTGATAGTGAAATCGCTAAGAAATACTCAAGTACAAGAACCAAAACAGGTGCAATTGTTAAAGAAATGGGTTTGAAAAATAAATATACAGTTATTGATTGCATTAAAACAGCTCCGTTCTGCCTGTCTATGGATAGAAGCAATAATACCGATTCAAAACTGTATCCAATTGTTGTTTCTTTTTTTTAATCCAGAGTCTTCAGAAATTCAGTGCAGTTTATTTTCTGTCCCCACTTTAGAAGGACATTTGACAGGCTTTAATATAGCATAGCTAATTATTAAAACTTTAAAAGAAAATGCAGCCCCTCTGGATAATTAGCTTAGCACTTAATGCCAATAATGCACCAGTAATGATAGGCTTGAAGACTGTTGTTACAGGCATCTTAAGAAAGGAAAATTCAGATTTGCAGATTATGAGGTGCACCTGTCACCTCTTAAATTTAGCTGCTGAAAAAGGGGCATCTTCTTTACCAATAAATGTGGATGATCACATTGGTGATATTTATTATCTTGAAAGGAGTTCTAAAAGGAAGGAAAAATTGAAACAGTTCCAACAGTTGTATAACTAATATTAGTGATGACGGATTTAGAAAAACTTTTATCACCAAAAGCAGGCCTATGTGGCAATTGCTAAGTACAAAATAATGAAGTTTCTTTCTTAACGAAAGCAAACTCTGCCACTTTTCATAACATTAGTGCGGAATTGATTAAAGTGTCTTTTTTTCCCTTAAACAATGCAAGCAATAAAAATGTTTTTTATGTGTAAGGTATTTTTGTGTTGTTTGCATTTAAGAATTAGTAACTATTTAAAGTTAATTCATTATTAAAAACTATATTTTTATCATTTAAAAAGTCTTTTTAACATTTTTAAAAAATCTCCTGATTTCATAAAAAGGTCTCCTGATTTTTGAGTGTCATAGGTTGGCAAGTATGCATTCTAAGCGTATAGAAAAATTGAAAAAATTACAGCAGCTGCATAGTACTGAAATCCGAAAAATTTTGAAATGTGTATTTACACACTGGCTGTCTTTAAAGAAATGTTTATCTATAATCGTTGGCCAATGGAACCTACTTCATGCATTTTTTAAAGAAGAAATGCACCTAGAGTTAAGATAAACTGCTCTATTGAAAGTTATAAAATACCTTAAGTGGAGATGCAGTGACTAGTTCCACTGTTAAAAATAGATTTGAGAAAACGCAAGTAATTTCTGCACTAGTGAGCAATTTAATTGGCAGTTCTCAATACTACAAAGTATAAGCACAAATAATTATATATTTTGTTATAATTAATAATTTTTCCATGTTCACTTTTATTTTCATAAAGCAATGTATCTAGTTCTTGGTGATTGAGAGCTTGTCCATAAAATTATTTTGTCTTAGTTCCTGTTTCTATAGTAGTATCCATCTACAAAGTTTTGGTGCAAAGTGCTGCTTGATGAATAATACAATGTCCAGTGCAAAAGTTATTCTGAACATTTTCTTCTGCTATATTTCTTAATTTTACCATTACTCCATTTTTTTACCTACTCTAGCAACTACACTGTTACTTGCAAATCTAGCCATTTTATTCAAACAATTTATATTTATTATTTTTTTGATTTCAGGGAAAATATCCTGTGCACCAATTTTTCCTTTTATAAGAATTGCTTCCAGTAATTATTCAAATACTTCAAATTCATCAGTAACCTTTCAGATAAAAATTCCAAGTTGTACTATAACTCTGATGCACTCTAATTAACTGCTATTGAGAATGCTGTAAAATTCTATACTTTTTTCTTTTAATTGACATCGTAAATTCTTAGCAATTTTATGAATAAGTTCTGAAGCAAACTAATATTTTACTGTTTACGGAAAAACTGTCTCTCTCTGAGTGAAGAAATTCAGTAGACTTATTCAAACAATCATTAAGGAATTTGCCAACAGTAAATGATTGTTTTATACTGATGTGCATAGTAAAATGTGGGTGAACTGTTATTTCAATGGATTTATTTGCTTGAGGGGTGATTTGATGTCATTGTAAGGGGAAAAGAGCTATGTTTCGAGAAAGTGAAACTTTTCTTTCTACAGTTTGCCTTCAAACATTTCATGTTTTTCTCAATGATTCTTTTTGTAATATTAAAATACACTGTATTCTTTTGGAACTGATATTCCCTTTACAGTGAAATGAGGGGAGTCTCAGCCCTGGCTAGTTTGCAGCCATCTTACACAGTTAAAAATGCCCCAGCCTCCAAAGGCTATCTTAAGAGGGCGTCACTCTCCTCGATCAAACCAGCGGGACTTCAAATATATCAAAGGCTGGGTTAAATAACTCAACGCTTATAAATCATGGAAGTCAACATACATACAAAATCGGATACAGTCTGTCCCCAAGTGTTGACCAGAGGGAGCCCATCCCCTCGGATAACCTGCGATACCTGACAATGTAACGTTCCCACAACCAAGGGGCAGATAAGACAATACCAGTTCAGTCTCTGCCAAGCCTGAACCTACCACCGAATAAATGATGTTTCTAGTCCTGTGAAGACTGATTATTTACCCTAGAAAATATTGGCTGTCTAGACATTGGTTTAGCCAGTTTACTAGATAGAACCTCGGGTCTCCTCCCATAAAATGGTTGTTTCTGGAATTTCCAACCCAGTCGACCCCTAGTGATGGTATCCATCGTCAGCCCAGGCGAACCTGGTTACTAGTGGGAGCCATGTGGAGGCCGCGTCACTGCCCCTGTAGTTGTACTCACTCTCAGAAGGTCCAGATCGAAACCCGGGTCTCCTCCCAAAAATGGTCGGTATCAGAAATCTAATCCTTCCCAACCTGAAGGGAGTACAGCTATTTGTGCCACATTTCCTTTACAAACAAAACATGAAATTTTACTGCATATACAATACATACAATTTTACTGCAATACAACATACAATTTTACATCATTCGTAGGCTATATAAAATTCCTTTAGGAGCAACTTGCAGTGTGCAGGCTGCCAGTCTTAGACTGTTGCTCTATACCAAATGTCAGCGGTTCTAAACCTTTTGACTAATGTGTACCATCTAAACAAAAATTGACAAACTTTAATACCACCACTACATTTTTATTACTATAATTATTTTTCAATTTCTCAATAGAAATATTAAAAAAAATATTGCCATTGGCACAAGCTGTTGGTTATTTGTATTAAACATGCACACATAAAAAAATATTATAATAAAAATTGGTTACCATTGTAATTATCAAAATTTAAGTTATAATGCTTTAATTCTAAAATTTAGTGTGAAATTTGGGCCAGTTTAACAGAGATCAGTGTCTTTATATCTGGTCTTATTTCACTTATTTTTAACCGTAAAGAAAGAAAACACCTCAGATGTTAGGGGAGATCATGGATGTTAGAGGAAACACTCAGGATTTCGGGGTATTTAATTTTTGAATTTAATAGTTAAAAATACTTTGTTCCTTTGTATACCACCTATTTTTCTCTTAGGAAGATACTTGCATACCACCAGCGGTAAGCATACCACCGGTTGAAAATCGCTGCCATATGTGAATGAAAGGTCTGTACCACATTCCTTATGAGGATTAATTTGCACACATGAAAGTATTTTTACATGAAACAATATTGTATTGCAATCACTGCATTACACTAGAACACTGAGCCCAAAAAATGCATGTGAATCCATTGGGGGGGGGGAGGGCCCTTACCCTTACTCTTTTTTGACATAGAATTGTGTATCTGTGATTTGTTGCATAAAACAAATTAACAGCCTAGGTGACAATAAAAATTTACACAGTGAATTATTTCTATTACAAAGTCATCAAATTAATGCACATTTCTTGGGTTTAAGGTTTTGCTAGTGTGAATGAACCTTTAGGAAACTCAAGGCCAAGAAACACCTCTTATTGCTGAGTCATCATTTAAAGTGGGATTGAAGTGTGATTGTGAATACAAAAAATACTGCACAAGGATTTGGCAATTTATTAAAATTGCACAACATAATTATCTTCCTAAGAGTGCAGTACTGTTTGATTGGTAGTTTCAACGGTATACTGATTTGAAATACATATATTGTTTCAGAATCATGGTGTATAATTACAGTCAAATCCTTATTTGCCATTTATCAAGGAACTATTGAAAATCATGCAAGTTTAATTTTAGACAAGATATATTTATAATGTTAAAATTTATGATATACGTATTATGCTAATCTAGCAGCTTTTTATCTGCTTTATGTTTAACTTTCAACAGTTTCAAGATGAAGTAACTCTTTCTTCCCAAATATGCTCGATATCTGTTATAAATTTGTAATGGGAACTGTGTTCATTTGTGCCCACAACTGTGCACAACAGGAATGATAGCAGAGCTTGTTGATGATTGGTTTAAAATTTTTTTCCCCCTCTTGATATTTTTTTAAGTTTTGATGTGTTTTTCATGGGGCCAATCAAAATAATTGTTAAATTGAATATAGAATGAAATCGAACATTATTAAGTTAGGGTTGTTCTATAATAAGGGTGTAAAATTTTTGTTAGTTACGCATGCATGAATATATAATTTCCATTCCCCATTTTAGGTACATTATGTATTAAATGAAATTATCACAGGTGGATTGGTTGCAGAGGATAAAATGCCAAATATATTGCAGGCTATTGAGGATCAGAAGAAATTAGAAAAAAATGAGGTAAACATTATTTTGCCTAAATTCATATATAGTTCTAAGTTGCCATGTACTACAGTTTTGCTTCATTTGTGAGTTATATGGCATTGCTATCAACTTTAAATTCGAATTTATTGCATTTTTAACTAAATATATATTTTTTAAGTCAATGAGTCAAAATTTACAGTTAGAAAAAATTCTGCTTTGAATATTTACAATGAGGTAGATAAATGATTAAAAATAATGGTATAATTTCAGCAATAGTACTTTAGTTAAAAGTAATCTCAAAAATTAAATTTTATTAACTTATTGATAAATTTTGCTGTAGCTGAACATTGGAAGATCTTGTTTAACTTGTGCTGCTTTTCTAACATATTTAAGAAATTTTTATTATGATAGCATTCATATTGTACTCTGTTTAGCAGTATTTAAATCCTATTCTGTTTCTTAATTTTTAACTGTATAGAGTTTTAAAAAGTGTTCTTGTAATGTACCATTTAACATATAATCTCAAGTTTGGTAATAAAATGGGGGGGGGAAACCTAGTTGAAGTGAATCTTACATTTAGTTAACCTCAGTAAGTAATAGGAAAAAAATATAATGTAATTCATAAATATGAAATTTATTTCTATAATAAATTACCTAATGCATATCAAAAATTGTCAAGCCAATATAGGAAAAGTAATTTAAAGCATTTTAGAGCATAATTGCAAGTATTTCAGTCTGTTGTTAAATAAGAAATATGTATTTTTGTTAATTTGATATTATTTGAGCTAAATACGTTTGTGTATTTTTTTAGATTCCTGTATTTTATCATGAAACTCATTGATATGACATCATTTTGCTGTTGTGTGTTTCATCTGGAATTTGTTTATTATATCTGTGCTATAAATATGTATGTAAATAGCTGTATTTGAATGTGCTTGGAAAAAAATTGAAAATGAAGATTATTTCTGACCTGTCCATCTCATTTTGTAAAGTCAAGTAAGGTTGTTTAGTAGTGACTGAATGATCAGATAGAGAAATAGATGTATGGTATAAATGAGAATTTTTATTTGCAATCATATAAAAATGAATCTGAAAATTTAAGCTTTCATCAGGTTATTTTAAATTGTGTTTGTCTTATTTATAATATTGCAGAATTTATCTATGTTGACATTCCATCATTTACTGTCACACGAACAAAACTGATTTAGCAAATATATGTACAGTACCTGATGCTTATTAAAATCACTTCTGTTCCAAAAACTTTATTAAGCAGCTGGTTTTAATAGATGGCAGTTAATGTATTATAAAGCATGATATCAGTTTTAAACTTTAAAGTAATAACTAACAACTAATTTATTATGTAAGCCAAAAATAATGATTAAAAATTAATACAAAAATTACACTATCTACACAGTTTTGAAATGCGTTTTTAAAAATTTTTATAAAAATATTTTCTAATTATATTCTTGATGAAATTTTCTGTTTTATAAACAATTGTTCTTTGTTTTTTTTTTCATATTGTTCAACACCCATTTTTTATTTGTATTTTCAACTTTTGGAAACTGCTAGTAGATTTGGATTAAAATCATTCAATTGAAGAATTTTTCATAGAATTTTTTTAGTGCTATTTGAGATTTGATTGATGATGGCATATCATTATGTTTTTCTGTATCAGTTTTGCTGTAAGTTTCTGCAGAATTTTTAATACTTTCATGGTCAGTTTTTGCACACTTTGTCTCAATATTGTTGTGAAATGACACATTTTCTAAAATTAAATCTTCATAGTAATCACTGATGTCTGAAACATTAACCGTAGTTTGCAATTCTTCTAAGGCTTCTACTTAAAAGCCACATTTTCGAAAACATATGTCTTTGGCTATAATATGTATGGCTTCTAGCTGAGATATCGAGTTACTTATCTTTTTCAAAGTGCTGGCATTTTCACAAAATTCAATTTTGTTCATCATTTACTGAACCTGAACAACTTTCTGTAATGACATTTGAAAGCTTTCATAATGCCTTAAAATTAAATGCTGAGTATTAGAAGTTATATTTGCAGAAGAGACACTAATGTTTTTCAGAAAGAGCCCCAGTTTTCTAATTAGCATTTAGTTTTTTATTTCTCTGGCTCATTTCAAAAGAAAATTAGTCAAAATACTATTTGAAACCCATGAATTCTTATTGTTATGATAAATCTTTGATCTTTTTTCGAACATTGAAGTTTTCTGCTTTTGTCCATAACCAGCCAGTTATTGACAAAACTGACCAGTTTTGTCAAGTGCGGCCTTATTAATTCTTGGGTACGTATTGCATGTTAACATAATAACTGACTCCTTCAGTTTCTTAAACCAACTACCATTTCATTTTTAAACATTGTGTGTACTGTGGTAATATTATGTAATCAAAGTTAAAAGTGCCAGAGCCCTATGGAAAATCATTGGGGGAAAAAGACAAAAATAAATAAATATCATATTTGTAAAATAATTAATAACTATAACTAAAACAAAAAATAGATAGTAATTAAAATAAAAAGGTAATCAATATTTATAAGTCAATAAATGTAAAGCGATAAATAAAAATTCGAAAAATTGTTTAGTTACTGATAAATAATTAAATAATGAAATAAAATATTGGGCTTCATCTTATTTGCGGCTCTGGCTGGAATTAAAATTTCTCTTAAAACAGAAATAATGGAAGTCAGACTCTGGGTGAATTTATGCCCTCAGTATAATGTTTTTGTTTAAGGTATGATGGGAATAAAGCTCATACTTTTTTTCAACACACCAGTTAGAAATAGTTTAATCATCACTAATGAGAACACAATGCTCTAAACAGTGATAGGATAGAGAGGAAATTTTAGCAGAGGATGTGTAGGCATGAAAATAAAGACATAAGAGTCTAAACTTTCCGACTATGCTCCCTTGCTACTATAATTCCAGCACTCAAGCAGAATGTGACTGAAGAAAGAAATTTCCCAGAATCTAGTGGTTAATTGAGAGCAAATTAACAAGTGATAATTTTCATCTCTATATTTAGTCGCATTAGTCCAAAAATTCTGCAAGTTCTCTTTCTGCTAGAGGCCACTCATAAATTCACTGCACTTCATGGAGAATAAGTCTTTGATATGTGGGTGAGATTGCTTACCAGCAGTCGAGTAGTAAAGCTGAATGCTGGTAGTTCTGATTTGGTGTCAATTCCAGGTGAATGGTCTGGCTGCATGGTCATTTTTGTGGTTTTCTCCATTTATAATGTGTATACAAGCCAGTTTTTCATAGGAAGTCCTCCATGAAGGCATTCTCACTCCTTACACAGATAGCCCTAGTGTGCTTTGCTGTAATTAAGTAAACCAAAACCAAACCAATTGGGTGAGACTGTTCTTTTCTTAAGTGCCTCAAACTCTGTCCAAGGATTTGCTTCTCATCCAAAAAGAGGTATGTATTCAGAAATTACAATCAAAGTTTCATTTTACTTTATTCATTAAAAAAGTTTTCAAGACCAAAAGAACTTTATGCTGTAATTGTGATTCAGTTGCATAAAAAAAGTGCAGGGAAACCTATTATTTTAGACCTCTGGTGTGTGAAATTACAGTTTATTTCAAAAATCAAGTAGTACTGGATAAGGCTGCAGCACAGTTTAAGCTCTGCCTATAATGCAGTCCAGTAATAATGTCTGTAATGAATTTCATATGGCTTCTATTCATTTAGCAGTCCAAGTAAAGTGTCTTGTATCCTGTTATCAGCTTCATGATAAACTGTTCTTTCTTCTTATCATACAGTTTGTGATGAATATTATTGGATTTGACTTTCTGCAACTTGTGAGCCTTACCAGTTGATATAAAATTCTCTTCTAGCATTTAGCAAATTAGTGAAAGGAAAGAACTTTTTTAGTTTCATAGTTTAAAACTGTTCTGAAAAAAAAAAAAAAAAAAAAAAAAATTTTCATGCTTCCTTGAGATATTTGCATTTTTAATTAGTTCTTCAGTAATTATTGTTACTTTTTAAAGTAATCTGTATGATTCTGTTTGAGAATTTTCCAATTTAAATGTAGTTTCTCTCTCTCTGCAATTACCAAGAATATTAAAATCTTTTTAACAGTTTATCCTTTTCATTCAGCCTTAAGTCTTTTCGCTTGGTATTTCAACATGTTATAAGTTAAGCAGACGACAAATTTTTAAAAAAAAAAAGTACGTCTTCCAATGATTTATTCAAAATTTATTTCCTGTCAGCAGAAGCATTACCCTTTGTCTGTTTTAGTTAATTTGCATCTTAATAATTATAAGCATGACCAATGATTTCCTTGCTTTATCTGTAGTCTGCTGTTACTACTTCCTTTTCCATTTAAAGACTCTTAATGTAGAGTAATGCTTAGATGCATTTCATGAACTTTTTTACAACTCTTTGTGAACATAATGTGTCTGTTCCAAAACGAAAATTCTTAATGTGGAAATTTAAGAGATGGGATACAAAAGTTGCATTCCCACCTCCTCTCAGCTAGTATGGGCAAAGATCTCTAAATCAGTGTCTCACAGGCACCTAGACAAGAGGGTAGGAAAATTTCAGATAAATTCGTTTTATTGAAGCATTTACATTTCTGAACCATAAAGCTTCAGTCCACAACACATAGAATGAATGAACTGTGAAAAACATTGATAGGGACATATAGTACATTTTGGTTCTTTTGCCAGTCTGAGTTTAATAAGCGGCGGAGATGAGTTTATTAAATGATAGTTTTCTCTCGATTAATGGGTATTTGTTTTGGTTCGTAGAAATTTGAACTTAATATAAGCAGCTGAGTTTATTAACTAGGGAGTTTAATAAGCAGATGGTACTGTTATGCTAATATTGTGATTTTTTTTGTGTTATGAAAAGTTTCACACATGGCCATATTAAATAAGTGCACAGTATACCTATGTGTATTTTTATAAATATTTTCATAAGTATTAGTTGTATTTCAGATTTCTATGTGTTAAATTTATAAATTTTTTGAGAAATCTGAAGAATTGCTGTTTCCTGATGTAAAGTGATTTTGTAAATGAGCTTTGTATTTATACTTCTGTTGAAAACTAATGCAGCATTAATCTGAATGGAAAACTTGTATAGTGATATTTATATTATATGCATGGATAACCACCTCCCTCCCCCCAAAAAAACTGCACTAGTCAGCCAGTTTCATGGAAAATGATAATTTATGCTTATGATTACACTTTGTATCATTATTTCGCTATCTGTTACTTCCCAAGTAAAAATGCTACATGTTGTTGAATGTGCATATTTCCAAATTACAAATGTTTTCACATTAAATTAATTCTAATATATTTTATTTCCAAAATTTATATTGTCTTTAGATTTAAAAACTGCAGTGCAAATACTTTTTTTACTTAAAATTGTAAATAAAATCAAATTAGTGCATTTGAGAATGTAATGAAAAGTATAATTTTATATTGCAGTTTGTTTAATGCCTATAATTATATAATAGTTTTTCAAATATGGATTTGTCCTCATAAAACCGTTCAGAAAGTTTAGATTTTTTAATGTATTTCATAATGTGGTTTTATAGAAAATATATGTGAGATATTGATAAATGAGATTTTCAGAAATTACATTGATGTTTTGCAGTGTTACATTCCTTTTTCATAAAAAAAAAAGAAACTAAAATATAAATAAATAGCTTTTTACTTTTCAGTGTATATCATTTGAATCATATGACTAAGCCATGTGAGTAGAAGTTATATAAAAATAACGTGCTGTACCTGAAGAAAACTGTACAGTTTGAAAGTTTTGTTTCAGTGTAAAACAAACTGCTGGGAACATTTAGGCACGAGACTTATTCAGTTTTCTTGCTCTTTCAGTACAGTTAGTAATGAGAGGAGCAAGGGAGGAAGAACTACCTTTAAAGATAATTTTATAGTGTATATGCAAAAGCATTATTTTCTATTATTTATTTATTTGCATTGTTTTCTGTATCGGAACAAAATTCAAAAGGTTTCAATGTCTTTAAGTTACCGAGGTAAGAATATTTTTTCCTGCAGATATATTTCAAGAATTTCAATATAGCCAGGTGATCTTTACATCATATCATGGCTAGTATTCAATGTTTTGCAGCAACTTTTGGGATGTGTTGGCTAGGAAGATAAAATGTGAATTTTAAAGAGTTATTCTGGCAGAAGGATAAACATTCTATTGGGATTTGGGGCCAAGTACTGTTCCAGCTTTCAAAGAGCATATATGCCATTCTTAGTTATTTTGAATAATTTCCAATGCTTAGTTATTTTTTTTTTTAATAAGGGACCATTTTCTTAGTTTCTGTTAAGACAAAGTTATTTGCAGTGCTTTTCTTCTCCCATACTTCAGATACTCAAGTAAGGCATGATCTTATGCTTATGACATGATTTAATTTATTGTGCATCACTGCCTAGTATCATAACTGGGAATGGACAAGGTGCATGAATATCATCAATTAGTCAAAGCTATATATGTGAATGAAGACTGTATGCTTTGAAATAAACTCACTTTATGTTCACATGAGTGTGGATTAGCCAGATTGAACGTTGGAATTATCTGGTTATGTAAGCAATGTTTTAAAGGTACATAGATTTAAAATATGAGCAAGAAAAGTAAAATTAATGTCTGGAGCAATAGGATAATTTAGGTATAAAACTGGCGAAATAATCTGTGCTTGAAAGCATAAATTGTGATGAACTAACAGTATTAATGGAAGATGTCCAAACACTTTCTTTTTGTAAAGATGCAGCATCCAAACATCTAGGCCCATATTATAATCCTGATAAGCAGCTTATAAATTAAATAAACTTATGTGTATAATCGAGCAGATGTTCGTTATAACGATCCCGTGTCTTAAAGAAAGAGGACATTATAACAAGTGGCCTTTACAATAAAAATAACTTAATATATGCCCATCAGATGGGGATTTTTGGCATTTTTTGTTCTTTCTAAAGGCTGGGCTGTTAATATACTTGTTCAATAATAACACTCATATATATATATATCATTTGTAATGGAAGATGTCCGGCGACAAAATCGCAGACGAAAATGTCGAGAAAAAACAATGCAAGGTCGCAATCATCGTGCAAAACACTGTGGCAGAAAATAGAGCAAGAACAAAACACCGTGTTATAATATACTCTTTTGAGAGAGAGAAAAAAAAAAAAAATCGAAGCTCCAAGAAGCACTTTGCGCTCGTGACGAAATTTGGTATGCAAAAAAATCTTGATCAAACATACAGATGATCAAAGTTTCAAGGCAAATGAACAGGAATTGCGATCATAGCGCGCAGTTCGCAAAGTATAAAACCAATAGCTGAGGTGGAAAATTTATCTTTTTTGTTGCTGCCATTGTAATTTCTTATAGAAGCAACTAAAGATGCTATTACGACAATATCGAAAACCTTACAGACAATTAAATGCCTTCGAACGTGGTCGCATTGTAGGGTTGCATGAAGCTGGGTGATCATACCGAGTAATAGGCCGCCTCCTACAGCGTACAGACACTGCTGTGCAAAGATGTTGGCAGCAATGGTTGCTACAAGGAAATTGCTGATGAAATGAAGGCTCTGGAACACCAAGGAGCACAAATGCGAGGCAAGTTAGGATGATTGTTCGCTAGGTCCCAACATCTCAACGGTATCATTGTCGACTATTCAACGCACTAACAGCCACGTCTATACCTCCCATGGTACCATCCACAATCTCACGGCGCTTGTCTGAGGCGAGGTTACGCTCACAGAGGCATTTAAGACGTTTGCCTTTGGCCCCACAATATCGCCGGAGTCGTCTGGAGTGGTGTCGCAGCCGATCATCATGGCTGCCATCACACTGGCATCGTATAGTGTTCAGCGATGAATCGCGCTTCACTTTTGAAGCAGATGACCACCATGTTCGTGTCTGAAGAGGACGGCGCCAGCGGTCCCAATCAGCCTTAGTTTTACAAAGGCTTACAGCCATAACCCTGGGGCGATGGTGTTTGGCGCTATTTCTTATGACAGCAGGCCATCTTTAGTCATCCTTTGTACATCTTTAACAGCTCAACGATATGTTGATACCATCCTGCGCCCTTTAGCATTACCGTTCATGGCATGTCATCCTGGGGCCGTTTTCCAACAAGATAATGCCAGAGCACATACTGCTCGTACATCTCTAGACTGTCTCCGTGCAGTTGATACTTTTCCTTGGCCAGCAAGGTCACCAAACCTTTCACCAATCGAGCATATCTGGAGCATGGTAAGCCGCCAGATTCGTGCGCCACAAAATATCGCAGATCTGGAGAGACAATTGATGAATGCCTGTCAGAATGTGTCGCAGGATGACATTAGGAACCTCTACCACTCCTTGCTTCGACGAATTCAAGCATGCATTGCCTCCAGGGGTTGTTCAACCAACTACTAATTTGAACACTCAATGAGTGATTGTGAGTCGTGAACAGGTACTATGACCTTGATTTTTTAATCATTTTTTTAACTGTGTATGAGCGATACACATTTTCAATTTCATCAAAAACAATCACTTCCTCACGGTGTTTCGATTTTTTTTTTTCAACAGAATTTATGTCGCCGTCGAAAATAAAGCGGTTCAGAAATATCGTCATTGCATCTGCAAATTATCATATAACGATAACATTGCAGATGTGTTATTCAGGCCTTAAAATTTTTATATATGTATTTGAATAGTGTTTTGGGAGTGAAAGAAGGAATGAGGAACATTTTTACCTTTATGTTTCATATTTTTGAGTTATTTTTCTGCTAAAAATGCAAGAACACTTAAGTATTAAAAAAAACTGAAAATAAGTTGAAAATTAATGGTATGCTTAGCACCTAATAGAATTTTAAATTTATGTATTGTTAAAGGTCATTTAATTGGTATCTTTTATAAAATTGTATTGGCAGTTTCTCATGAAAAATATAGCCTAAAAATGATTAGAAAGGGAGGATGAGTAACTGCATGAGGTTATCTGTATGAAAATTGTTTAATTTATGAAATTATAAAATTATTTTCTTCTATAAAGTTCGCCCAAATGGTAGTAACACTACAGTTGGGTTGACAAATGGTTTAATGGTGTTGGTGTAAATAAGCATACAAAATAAAAAATTATACATACGGAATATATGGGCTAAGCATAGTTGCCCTGGAGTTTGAAACAGGTGTCCCAGTGGTCGACGAGATGATGGACACTCTGGCTGTTGAAACCGAGGGGTTGGCTGTGGAACTAGTTTTCAACAGCAGCTTGGACCTCATTATTGTCTGCAAATCGCTGTCCCTTCAGAACTTTCTTGAGTGGACCAAAGACATTTAAGTCACAATGTGAACGGTCAGGACTGTAGGAGGTATGTTCCAGAGTCTTTCAGCGAAATTGCTTTAACAATGCTTTGCACGCAACAGCCGTATGAGAACGAGCATTATAATGCAAGAGAATAACCCCCTGTGACAGCATGCCACGTCGCGGTTCTTGATTGTGGCACAGTAGCATTCCAACAGCAACGGGCTATCGACGTCAAAGAAGGACGTAGGAAGATTACAATACTGTTAATGTCTGATGTAGTAAGACCTAGACGATATATAAAAGTTGTTAAGGAATTTTCTGAGGCGTGAGTTGATTTGTTCTGCACGACTTTTCTAGCTGTCTTAGCTGAACAACCCGTTTTTTGGCCGCGTGGATGAAGGGTGTCGCTATTCCATTTTCATTCGTTTGGTGGGCGGATCACAGTGATGACACCAAGTTTCATCAGCGGCAATAATCAAAGAAAGAAAATGGGACAAAAAATTGTAAAGTTTTCCATGGAAACATCCGTGCGGTTACTCTTCTGCTCCTCGGATGTTTTGGAACCCATTGCACACAAATCTTTCGGTATTGCAATCCTTCATGCAGAATTGTGTGACCACTTTCTTGGTCATAGACATTCCAACCGCTACTTCGCGAGTGGTGATTCGCCAATTATTTCCCACGAGACTGTCCACAGCTGCAATTGATTCCTGGGTGATGACCACATGCGCTTGACCTGGTTGTGCCTTGTCATCTGTACTGCTTCGTTCTTTATGAAAATCGCTATATCATCTGAATACGTGACATCTATGACACTGTGTGGCATACACTCTGTGTCATGCACTTTTTGCATGCGATGATTAATTTCTTCAGCACTCGTATTTTCACCCGTTAAAAATTGCACAACTACACGTTGATAACGTTTGGAGGCATCTGTGATACTGTTACGGATTTTGTATTTAATTTGCTATTTTTAGCGGAATTGTAATTAAAATTGTTTTATTTCCCCGTGCAATGCAGCGCGTGACGAGTTTTAAGAGAAAGCTACGCCGAAAAAGTAAAAATACAACACGCTCATTTAGCATTTCATAAATTGATATCTGGTAATTGTACTTTTTTGCTATCCAGAAAAATCGAGAAAGTACCAAAATGTTCTCAAGCATGATTAAAAAGCTTATAAAAGTCGGATCAAAACGTCTCAGTTTATTAATTGTTTACTTAGTTCTTGTTGTTGACTGTAGTGAATTCGCGGCGAGATCGGATGAGCTTTTTCTGCTTTGAATTGAGTTCTATTTAACGTTTTAGTAGTTCAAAATATAACTGTTGTGAGATATTGTACGAATATCTCTAGGGAAATTTCAGGTTTTTGTTTTATTTCTTGACATTAGAATAAATTTTATTAACTTTTT